CTAGGTTAGAGATTACATGTCTTTAAAAACTAAGTCTTAAAATCCATCTCAAAAATAGATTTATTCAAAAATAGATTTATTAAGAAGCCCGCAGTGGGTTTGGCCACATAGGAACGAGGGAATCCACAAAAAAAAAAAAAGGGAGGGAATCCACAAAAAGAAAAAATATACCTACTAAGTATTTATAAAAAAGAACTTTTCAATCTTTTCTAAAAATAGAAAATATTAAAAAATATATTACAAATAAAATTTTATTTTATCAGATTTTTAAATTATTTTTTTTTAATGTTCTTGGGTTGACCACCTCACTGTCCAAAAACTAGCCACAGGCGGTTGCGACCCGGCCGAACCATAGTCAGGTGAGAAAGTATAATTGCCCTCGAATATAATTTGGCCGCGCGAGTGTCAGAGCAGAGAGAAATAGGGGGGTTCTCTCCTTTCGTTTAGAAAGAGAGAGAAAGAGATGAGGTCCTCCCTCGTTATTCTGAATCATAGTTAGTCATGTCGTGTTGGATCCCTCCCCCATAACATACTGATTATTTAGGAGTATGAGCAGCAGTATAGTACATACTACCACAATAATAATATGTTAAAATAACTACAATAATAATATGTTAAAATAGTAAAAGCCGTGGGTCACTGATCATAAAAGGAGGCACACCCACGAGTGTGGTGGTGGTACGCTCTATCTGTCCAATATAATGTCATTTGGTGCAATTATCTCATGTCATCTCATCTGTCTCTTTAAGACACATACCCTCTCTAAAAGAAAGAAAGGGAGAAGAGGGTCAGTTTTTTTTTCTGGGTATTTCAATGGAAAAGACATGTCTCTACCTGTTTTTTCAAATAGTTTAGGAGTTAGTTTTGGTTAAAATGTTCGTTGGGTAATGTCAATGGGAATAAAAACCACAAATACAGAGGTGCTATGATCAAAAAACTACCCCCTTCCCATGAGGGAGTCAGTCTGGATCTCCAATGCACCTTCCCATGAGGGAGTCAATGTAGATCTCCAATGCCCTCAATACACGCACGCGTTCCATTTCCCTTTCGAAGTTCAAAGCTCACTCTAAGAACATCTTACTAATCGTAATAATAATGATGGCCATGCACCTCCAATCATATCTCTCAATTCCAAACCATCTCTCTCTCTTTCTAAAAGAACCCTCCCCAACCTTGAAAGAGAATTATAGGGGATTACTCTGGCTTATCAGATATTTATAGAGTTATAACTCTCACCCTTTAGGAAACAAATCTCATTAAATATATATCCTCAATATTTGATAGCTCAATATATATCTTCACTATTTGATAAATGTCAACACTCCCCTTCAAGTTGGTGTGTTGATATCAATGGAGCCCAACTTAGACAATATCTCATGGGTCTTTGTCTTTGCAATAGCTTTGATAAATATGTTTGCAAGTTGGTCTTTACTTCGAACATAAGGAGTACAAATAATTTTTTACTGAACCTTTTTTTGACAATCAACTTCTATGTGCTTAGTACTTTCATCAAAAACTGGATTAGACGCTATATGCATAACTGCTTGATTATCACAAAACAACTCCACTGGATTTGACTGTTGGGAACCCCATATCTCGAAGTAGGTATTGTAGCCACATCAATTTACTTATAGTTTAAGTTATAGCTCAATATTCGGCCTCTGCACTAGATAGAGCAACTACGTTTTATTTCTTGCGTTTTCAAGTAACAAAGTTTCCTCCGACCAGTGTACGATAGCCGGTAGTAGTCTTCATGTCAATTGGACTACCTGCCCAGTCAGCATCAGCATAACCATAATATTGGTGTGACCATTCGGTTTCAATTAAACACCTATGCCAGGTGACGACTTAAGATATCTGATAATCTTATCGACAGCTTCCATATGACATGATCTAGGAGCATGCATAAATTGGCTCACATGACTAACCACATACATTATATCCAATCGTGTCACAGTCCAATAAATCAATTTGCCCACAAGTCTTTGAAAGCGGCCCACATCTTCAAGAGGTTTTTTATTTGTTGAATTAAGTTCGCAATTAATATCAACAGGAGTGTCAACGGGTTTGACTACGAGTTTTCTAGTATCTTTCAACAGATCTAATACTGGTGGTATAAGACCATTGGGCTAGAAATGCAATCTTTTAAAAAAATTTCATTGTAAAAACTCAAGGGTTTAAATGCATGAGTTTCTCAATACAAAACCATAATACATATATTCCAGCCTACAAACATGGTTTATACACATTTCAATAATAAAATTCAACCCTAATAGGTCCTTTACAATCCCTTACTCAAAAATACAATTAGCTCAATACAATATTCAAATATTCACAATGTACATCTCTACAACATATTGCATGACTTGCACTTGTACTTCCTCAGTATATCAAAATTACGATAATTTCATCTTCATTCTTCATCATCATCATATATTATAATGTTTCATACACATCATACGCTAGATCATAATAATTCGATAAGATTTCAATTCGCATAAACAATAATGCATAGCATTAAAGTTCATATCGTAAAATTAAAGAACAATCTCAATATACACAAAATATACTCAATTTTACCAATCATGAATCCATTTAGTAATTGTAAATACATCAAATTAACATGTAAACATACATGGGTAAACCATGGTTCGATCCCCTTGTGCCCGGGCCACGAAATGGCCTTTTGAGGACTTAATTTTATCCCATTGTTTATGGCACGAGTGATAATAATAACTCAAGGAGATCAATCCAATAGGAAGCAAATGATCACTTTAATTTCACTTAATGGGGATCAAATCATGAGAACGACATGTATCAAAATATTCTTTCAAAGTTAGAGAGAGATACTATACAAAATAAGGAAGTTATGATGAAACTACACCTCGAACTTTTCAAAATTAAAAATGGAACTCAAGGGACTATTTTTTGTGCTCAAATATGATGAAATAAACTTCTCATCAGTTGTATACTCTTAGTAAAAATTTCAAAAAAATAAGATTAATAAAATCACGTTGAAACTACTCAAGATCATGGAGTAAGCAAGCTAGTCTACACATACTATGAATATGGACTATACTATTGCTGTGGGACTCTTCAAATATCAAGTTTTCATGACCAAAAATGAAGAAAGCTACTTTAAATTAAGAATTACAGCAAGCTTTGGTAATGAAAATAAGGTAGGAATTAAAAATATATGAAGAAAAATCAATATCTTAATGAAACAATAGTATAGGCTTGATCATATAAATGAGGGGCTACTCCATGGAAGGGTTTCAAATGAAAGTTCAATGAAGAAGATAGTCTCATGGGTAGCCACATTTTTGCCAAGGGGGCTCTCTCTCTCTCTTTGAAGTGAATACTCAAGTTAGGGTTATAATTTATCTCATAAGTTACTTTTATACTTAGATCATAAACATGGATTTGATCTTGATCCTTGATGCCTTAGATCAATAGCACATGAGAGGCTTTTATCCAAGCCACTCATCCATATCTTATCACCAAGATCAATGAATGAGCTTTTGACACCCTTCATTCCTTAAAACCTAGGTTTATAGTCATTTTACCTTGAAGCCCTTAGCTCCATGTTTTATTTCTCATTAAGTCCAAATTCATGCTTACACTTATGCCCATGGTTTTTGAATAATTTGTAAGAGTCAATAAAATATAAGAACATGGACATAAAGGTAATATGGGACATCCATACATGTGAATAAAATATCTTATAACACCACCAATAGGATTTTAACAACACTAAAATTTCATATAGGTCAAGCCCATAAGGTGGTGCTACATAAGATATACCCACATGCTACAAAATCATATGTAGATAATAATATGAATTAAATTAATTCTCAAAATCACACGACTTCACGCATGCCAAAAATGGCACATATGAGCAAAAAAAACATGTGGCTTAAATCAATTTAAGTCATGATAATATATAACACTTTAAATAACATGATAACATGATATAATATAATACCAATAAATGAATTAATGATAAATAGGTCCCCACATGGATATGATGCCAGCAAGATGTCATCCATGAGTGGAGAGGAGGGGTACCACGTGGCATTCTTATGGCTATTTGGGATCCATGTGGCATCCCGTAGAATGTCCTTATTTGGTGTTTATGTCAAACAAATTTGAAAATCAAATTTTTATTGTTTAAAAAATCTGAAAAGTTCTTCAAAAATCTAAAAAATTCTCTAAGTGATTTATCAACATTATTACATAATTTCTTATAAATATAAAAACATTTCTCATCAAATTTAGATTAATTTGGGCCAAAGGTAAATGAGATCTCTAGACTTATAACACTAGTCGGAGTCTTCCATTCGGCTACCCCAAATGGCATTCCACCAAGGTCTCAAGATGATCCAATGGACCTATGCTCTACAGTCTATGGAAGTGACCCATATTTGGTCACATCAAAGTCACTGGGTTAGAGCTTCCTATCACCGAGGGTTCAATGGATTACTGGTGCACCCCTGTGGGACATGTTCCTACTCAAATACAGGGGTCATCTCAAAGCATATGCGCACTAGCTCTTCTAAGTCGGATAATACTATAGAAGAGTGGCTTCCTCATACAACTGTGTGTGCACATGCCATGGAACAGTCTCGTATCAGGATACGAGCTCATGTCCCATGAGCCGACCATTCCATACAGAGCGAATACTCTTTTAAACACTAGGGTTCTATTATTCTCGATTGAATTCTCCAAGCCCTGACTTATCACATCAACTATGAGGCATTCTAATCAATATAGTCTAGACTGGGAGGTGACCCTCACACCTCCTCAAGAGTTCATACTCTCTAAACGTATACTCTCAATGCCTCATATATTCGGGA